GAACAAAAAGAAACTAAATAAATAAAAGAAGATATGACGTTTTTGCCCCCTTTCAATTAGACAGCAAGTCAATGCAGCAATAACAAACAAAAACTTAAAAGACAGCAGGGATCACCATATATGCATGAGGATCTGGGGGTTTATACAATCGGAGAATAATGACCAAAAATATAAAGAATAGAGAAAAATAAATTACTAAAAAAAATACTTAAAATAGAGGATTATGCGGGGATGTAAAAATACAAAAACAGAGGAAAATAAAAGAATTAAAAAAATAATACTATGAAAAAGAAACCATACTATTGCAGATAAAATTAAAGTAAAATCATCATGATCTTGTTCATGAAAATTTTTCAGAACAAGTGTTATTTTTAAAAATAATGAAAAATGCCTTATTTTTTTTTAAATACAGAAATTAAAGACCCCCCGATTCAGACCCTTAATAGATAAATAAAGAAGAAACAAGCACGCAGCTAGTAACACAAAATCCTCTATAATCATTCAGTGATATGACTTTTACAATTTTTGATACGGTTCCTGAAACATTGCATTTCTCAGGTACACAGAAAACACTTAATTTCCCAGTCATTCAATCGATCAAGACTGGTTACACACTGGCAAACCTGGGTTATGATGTTACAGGTCCATGTTTTCATGTATATGCATAGTCGTTACAACTGTATCCAATTTAATCATTGTATTGTTTTATTTATCTTTATTTAATGAATGAAAAAAGTTCATTGAGACGCAATAAAATACATGAAATTTGAAAAAAGGCAGGACAGGAGTTATGAGTAAAAAAAAGGCAGGATGATCAACTTGGCAACAAAAAAAGGCAGGATGACAATTTATGTAAATAAAGTCAGGATAAACTAATATAAAAAAGGCAGAACCGAATAGAGTGAAAAATAAAAAGGCAGGACAGAGATTACAACTAAAAAAAAATGCAGGACAAAATTTTTCTTCCCCCCCCCCATAAAAAATCAAATGGTAGCTCCCTTATTGGTGGCGGAAGCCGGAGTGCCCGGTGAAAACCACCGACCTTCGGTAGGAAATTAAGATTGGAGCCGAGAGCACCTACCACGTGCGGGATTCGAACTCACAACCTCTGTGTTGACAGGCTAGTGATACAGTACTTGTTCTTGGCGTTCCGTTTTTATTGTTCATTGTATTTTGGTTCTCTATTTTTCTCTATTCTTTATTGTTTGTTTTTGGTCCATTTTTCTGTAGTATTGGCCCGTTATTCTCTATTCCGTACACACCATCCAGACCCTCGTGTATTATATCTATATGTGTATGAAATATTTACCACTTGCACGTTAAACACAAATCTATCATCATTTATCTTTTCAACAACTAATTACAAAATATCATTATACAGTTTAACACATTGTAATTGCTTCGTCGGATCGTTTTTAGTGTCTTTTGATTTTTCACGCGGAATGTAAATAAGAAACGGTTTTAAAATAGTACGAAGTATTCAAGAAAATAACAAGTGTTTTCATCAGAAAAGTTTTTAAGATTCCACACATTACAAATTAAACTTAAGTTACAATCAAAATTAATCTAAGTAGATTGCATGTAAAACACATATTTTTAATTGAAATGTATTTTTAGATTTCAGTTCTGGAAAAGAAACTAGCATCCATGTAAATAAATGTTTTATTAGGTGTAAAGAATGAAACAATCCATTATATACAATATATATACTATAGTATAATAAAAATGTAAGGTAGAAGGTATAAGAAGGCTATTGTTGTGGTCCCTTGAATTCTAAAATCAAAAAGTATTGTAAATCTACCAAATAACATCCTTCAGATGGTCATAAGATATAAAATAAGTTTGTCGGACATCAGTATTTATATATAGCATGTATAGGACAAAAAGCAAAAACTGCAAAAATAGCCTCATTTTGAGATCTTTATATTTAGATACGAGCAACAGCTTTATTTAAAGAGATATTTTACTACAAATTATATTTTACAAAGATGTTAATGTGTGTAACATATTTTTTTGGTTAAAACACAGATAACAATTTTTTGTTCAAGTAATCGACCAAGGGGGCAAGCGATGCACTGTTTTTGGGCTAACGAGGACACTGCCAGGGATTGTCACGAAAAAAAAGAAAAAAGCTTCGAACTGTGTGTTGTGTTATAAACTCGATTCACGGTTACTAAATAATAATTGTAACTACTTAAAAATGTTTGCTCGAATAAGTTTGACATGAAAGTGTATAATGTATCGTTCATTTCGTTTGGTATATCATCAGAGACTTTTAAAACCAATCTGATATCGATCATGTCTAAATTTACCAGGTAGAGAAAAACCGAGAATATCCAACTTGTCTTTTTTTTTCTTATGTGAATTTTCAAATAATGAAAAAGATCGTATTTCTTTTATTTAGAAACTTGTTTATTTCGCCGTGAGTGATTATGCTGCTCTGATCATTTAACCAGAATTGGGGAAATCAAATGTGTCTATAATTATACAATATAATAAATAAAATGCTTGGCATCTTTTAGACATAATGGAAGCTGTTTAGATGGTTTAAGGATGTTCGCTACTCTTTTTCAAAATAACAAGCTTTTTGAAAGACTGTCATAAATTGATAGTATATAAATGAAGGAACTGAAAAAGCAGAAAAAAATGAAGGGTCCGTGTGCTTTTTTTTCGAGATATAAGCCATTGAAAATTTGGCTTGAAATGATTCTCTCTAGATTTTTCATACATTTAACATTGGCACCTTTTTTCTTTCAAAAACATTGAAAAAGTAACAAGGATTTTATAAGGTTTTCAAATATGGCTTTTTAAACTATATGTAATAAAATCATGAAAAGAAAAGTAGGGGTTAGTGGACAAAATTTCTTAATGGAAAAACATGGATAAAACCAGAGGATTCCGAATATCTGACAAAAAATAAAAAACATCCTTAACGTCACCACATGTTAATGTGTATACTAAGTAACGCTATCTGGTGCATCTGTTGTCGTTGTTGTTTATGTGTTTATGTCTGGTTTTTGAACGATTTGGGTGTTAGTGGTGATGTGGTCTGTTGTACTTAGTCTGAGATTACATTGCGGTATTTTTACGATTTCTATTGGCTCTTTTATGTATCATCAAAATAATACAAGGAACATATCAAGTCCAGATTTAACTTACGTTATATTAATTAATATGTTTTTGTTATCAAATATTCAACTTGATGATAGATTAATTGATTTATTATTGTCATTATTTACCATTCGATACATAGCTATTTTGTAACATTAATAAGATTCATGAGAGATACTACCAGAAGGGGGGGGGGGGGGGGTAGGAAAGGTCCTGATCCCGAAATCCCGGGCTTAAAAACATAGAATCCCGAGGTCCCGAATTTTATAAAAATTTAAATCCCGACATCCCGAAATTCGAAAAAAGAATTTCCGGATCCCGAAAGGATCAATCTCGAAATCCCGAGTGGCTTAAAAACATCCGATCCCGGAGTCCCGGAAATATTAAATTTATGGAAAATGGCCTCGTTAGCGCTCTAGCGGGTACAATTCTTGCCAGATTTAGAAAAAAACTTATACTATAGGTTAATATTAGCAATATCTCGGACAAGTTCTATAATGGTGGACGATCGACTTTTTTAAAAGAGTTATGCCCCTTGGAAATATAAGATATTTACGTGCAACGTGGGGGACATTGGAACTCTGTTCTTTTATTTAATTTATTTAACAATTGGAAATTTCATTTTTTTTTTAATTTATATACCACTGTTTTAAAATAATTAAATGTGCAATTGCAATTGAAGAGTTGCTTCAAAATTACAGTATACATGTAGTTCAAACGAAGTAATACTCTGTCCAACATACCATGATCATGATGCTTAATCATATTCCTGACAGGTTCATTTTCTTAGGGAGCAACCATTTAACTTCAAGGGTGGGGTTTGGTTTTTTGTCTGGGCCAGAAAATTGCGCGAACATTTTTATTTAGTTTTTCGACGCTATCAATCAAATTATTTTTTTCAAAATTTAACACTATAAGGTATGGGGGAAATTTGGATTCAGAATATTTTTTTTGTCATCTGCTTGACCAGAATATTTTTTTTCATCAAATTGGGGATCAGAATATTTTTTAGGAAAAAACCATAACTCCCCTTGAAATTAAATGGTCGCTCCCTTCATAAATCAATTAAAATAGCTCTGGTCTGGATTAATCTGTTGCGAACTTTCATTATATTTCGATTCATCAATTCTAATGTGTTAGGAGTTTCCATTTTTAACAAAAAAATTCTATCAATGTCATTCAGACTCTTTCTGGACTTTGACTTGCTCTATCTACTATTATCAAGTTATGGTAGAGTCCTATTTCAAAGCAATTTTCTCATAAAATGTGTTTTTGAGACTCAATCCACTCAAAATATTTCATTTTGTATTATTTCACTTAAATAGCACGAAACTCTCTCTGGACTTGAAATGTTAAATTGAAATAAATCCATAATAATACAAAGCGGGATATTTTAAAAGATCAAACATTTATTTTTAACAAGAAGATTGCCTAATCATATTCAATCATGTGAAAATGGCAATATTTTCCAATTAAATTACCACCCGTTATAACAGCTATTTCATTCGTTAAACACTAAACTAATATTATTTTGTGTCTTTGTATTGAATCCGTTAGTTATATATATAAACGTTATGTAATGACTCTAATTGTATGTCCGCCTTTTATTGTTATTTTCTACATGTATCATTTAGAATGTGTCCTGCTCTTCGAATGGATTTTAATGATAATTGAAATATTTACTGTCAACTATCACTTACGATGAATTACTTTGGAAATGGGAATCTTGTGATGATAATGTAACTGCAATATAGTAATAATGTTTATTCTTATTCTAAAGGCGTTGTATCAATATTATGATATAGACACGATTTATTCAGATAATAAATTATACGATCCATGTTTCCCGAGTAACATAATGATTCGATTATGTTGTTAAATCTTCGAAATGTCATTTTCTCATCATAGTTAATGTAAAAGACATTTCATTTGCTAACTGCAAAAACAATCGTTAATTGTTTCGTAATATCAGTGAACATTATGTCTTATATAACGAAAGCAGCAACTTTTGCATTTTTTAAACATTTTGTGGCAAGCTTTGCATTAAAATCACAAATATTTAACAAAGAAACAGACACACGAATAGTTTCAAGTGGAGCATCAATGATGACAACAAAAGTGAAATCTGGATTCGAATGTGCTATCATGTGTACAAATGATTATAACTGCGGGTCCTGTAGCTTTGACAAATACTTGGAACAATGCCAGTTTTCTTGTTCATGCAGTCCTACAATGGAACGCCATAACGGATCATATACATTTATTAAGACTCCTAAATCAGGTATTGATTTTACAAAATGTTTCAATTTTAGTCTATGGGCGTTTTTCAATAAAAGTGTGAATTTCAGACCCAAAGAAAATGGAAAATCAACTTGTCTAAAATTTTATTTCAAGAGTTATTTTTAATACCTCTATTATAGACCTGTGTGCAAGTAAAAAGTGCAATCTTAAATACTCTTTAAAATTTCATAATTTATGTACTGTTTCGTAGGGACATTTGTCCACTACGAAACTGCTTCTAAACGCACATCTTATTGCATTTTAATGCCTCCTATAGACATTCCAGTTTGTTTTACTTTAAATACTAGAACGATCTCATTTTTTTATGAATTGGAGAACCATTTTTTATCGATAAAGATTACACAGTACTTCACATATGAAGGTACAACTCATGTTACGTAGTGGACATTTTGCTGAGTTTCGTAGTTGACAAAACCGTTTCGTAGTGGACAAAAAGTTTCGTAGTTGACATCAACCCTATTCTATGTTGATAAAATCATACTGAAAATTACATGAAACTAACCCTTGTTATTTGTTTTGCACGAATATAATTGAAAAAAGAGTCAAAAACGACTGCATGGTAGTGGTAGTGTCCACTACGAAACGTTTTTCTCCCATACTTGTTTCGTAGGTGACCGTTTCGTAGTGGACATATTCACATGTTTTATTTTTTCTCTACAATCCTTATATTGCAATAGTAACAAAAATGATTCTATTCGTCAAAGCACGTACTAAGCTGTACACTGATATTTTTTTCATAATTTTAAAACCAGATACTGAAGGAGATTTGACCCGTTTCGTAGTGGACATTAACAAAAATACGGTATCACTCTGGTCCATTTGATGTGCTCAATTTTTTTTGCCAACAATTTAACTGCCGTTTTAAAAGCATCACTTCTTTTGTGAGACCCTAATGTTTATTTCTCTTGCAAACATTGATTTTATAGAACTGTTTATTAGCAAAATTTAATGACTTCGTTTCGTAGTGGACATTTTGTCAGGAATGTCAAGGACACACCTTCTATAATAAAAAATCCTTTGTCAAAAGCTGTTTATTAAAATATGTTGTCTCTAAACATACTTTTGAATAATTAAAGAACTTATAGTAAGTAAAATTAACATTTATTTATACCTTTCTTTACAATATTTTAAAGTATGAAGGTTGAACAGGAGGTCTAAGGACATGCCATTTGGGTTATTTTGAACGATTCAGGAATCAATATCTTATTAATCCCTCCAAAAAAATTATATTTCTTTGCTTAAAAATGACCACTGCCCTTTCCTCGATCTTGATATCTATATCATTAACGGAAAGCTTAATACAAAAATATATGATAAAAGAGATGATTTTTCATTTCCTATCGTTAATTATCCATTTTTAGATGGTGACGTTCCCTTGTCACCATCTTACGGTGTTTATATATCTCAACTTGTACGATTCGCTCGTGTATGTAACAATGTTTTAGATTTTAACGAGAGAAATTTATGTATTACTGAAAAATTATTACACCAGGGTTTTCGATATCACAAACTAGTCAAAACATTTACTAAATTTTATCATCGGTATAAGGACATCATTCGTAAATATAGCTCAACATGCAGACTTCTTATACGTTCAGGTATTTCACATCCAATTTTTTATGGAAATATTCTTTATAAAGCACAAAAATGTCAGTATTCACCTCTGAAGCTAACAAAACCTTTAAATAGACCTATTAAGAAGGGATATAGTTACGATACTGTTGTCAGGTCATTAAAGATTGCATATTTTGGCGTTAATATTGATTCACTTATAGGGTCTTTGCATCGGCACTAACCACATTTATTTAAAAACCAGTTGTTGGCATGACACGGTTTATGTTCTTCTCATATATGTTATGATGGTATGATACAAAACCCCTAACGGGATGGATTGTGCCTGATATTCATATGAAGAAGACATAATCTTTCAATCAGTTTAATTGAAGTCTGGAGCTGGCATGTCAGTTAACTGCTAGTAGTCTGTTGTTATTTATGTATAATGGTCATTTTGTTTATTTTCTTTGGTTACATCTTCTGACATCAGACTCGGACTTCTCTTGAACTGAATTTTAATGTGCGTATTGTTATGCGTTTACTTTTTTGCATTGGCTAGAGGTATAGGGGGAGGGTTGAGATCTCATAAACATGTTTAACCCCGCCGCATTTTTGCGCCTGTCCCAAGTCAGGAGCCTCTAGCCTTTGTCAGTCTTGTATTATTTTTAATTTTAGTTTCTTGTGTACAATTTGGAGTTTAGTATGGCGTTCATTATCACTGAACTAGTATATATATTTGTTTAGGGGCCAGCTGAAGGACGCCTCCGGGTGCGGGAATTTCTCGCTGCATTGAAGACCTGTTGGTGACCTTCTGCTGTTGTCTGTTCTATGGTCGGGTTGTTGTCTCTTTGACACATTCCCAATTTCCATTCTCAATTTTAAATCTAATTCAATGTACTGACTGCACAAAAAATTACTTGTAAAGACCAAACACATTTTTTCTAAAGTGTCTGGGACAAGAAATCACGTTTTTATTGAAAACGCTCCGATACGTTTATAACTGCACTATAATTTTGGCCAACTAAATTAGACTCAACTCAAATATGCATTTTGCCGTGCAAACAGACTAGAATAAACATTTCCACTGTACGATGTCTCAGTCTAGAATGACAACCTAGACAATTTTTTTTTCACGTACTCGCGAAAAATTATTACCATAACAAAACATTATGTCATTCGACCTAACAAATCATACATCATCGGCCCATACAAAATATGATTGAAATTTTCAAACAGTATTTTTCATTTATACTGCGAAACGCGGAAAACATTTTTTTTTCTTTATTTGCATTTTCTTTATTTTAATTGTTCTTAAGTTTTTGCTTCGTATGTTGATTAAAGGGGCACTAGATACGAGATATATAAAAAAATCAAAGAATGATTTTGTTTTTGTAAAATCATTAATAAAAGTGAAAAATTGAAATAATAATTCGCTTTAGCAGCCAGTATGGTTCAATTTTGTTAAAATAAGCTAAGAAACATCAATGATGAATTATTCACTTGCAAGTGAATAATTCGACCTTATTGAATCCGTATGCATGTGACCTTCAATTTAACCCCTTAGCTAGAGATGGATTACGCATGAATTATGGGTGTTCAGTTATTAAAAGGAAAAGAATGTCAACATTGAAAGTGAAACAAAGGTGAATCATTTGATTGACTGATTCGATCCACAAAAACTCATTCTTATACAGGTAAAAACGATGATTAACATACATTTTAACGTATAATATGAAATCAAACAGACCTAGAAAATTTCCAATTGCACGAGTTATCTTTCTATTTATATATATGTTTATGTTTATATCGCATATATGACCGTCGGCAGTCTTGGGAGGTCAAACCAATAGTTAATTTGATGGCATCTAGACTAAAAATCACACGAAACGATGATACATATTATCGAGCCCATGCTTTGTTAATTGTATATATTCAACTTTTTATAATTAGGATTTACGATTTTAATAATATTATGTTATAAACAAATATGAGAATTTGAGTCAAATCGTTGAACATTAATTTGACAGCCAATGCTCCTTTAACCAAACTAAACATTTAATCAATGGTTTCATCATTTTTGAACAATTCCAGGAAAATATTTTGTCATGACTTGTTAAAAAAGTTTTTAACTTATTGTCTTACAAAGCAAACTTACTTAAACACGATAAAGACCAAAGAAAAGACGTACACCAAGACCTTACGATATTTCTTTTTTGTCCTTTGTCTATTTGCCTGAGCAAATAAGCCTTTTTATACATAAATTGTTTTGGAATTCATCAGTGTAATTTTCGGTTACTAGTAATCGATACTGGCGTGATTACCAGCATATTTTTATAAAAGAAATTATTAAGGAACTAAGGTTTAAACTCTCCCAGGCAAAGTTTACCGTTGATTAATTTATCTTTTAGATAACTTTTGGTTGTATGGTTACTAACATTTCTTTGTATTTATTCATATATGATTTACAAATGTTCAGATTTAAGCGTTCATGATAAAGGTAAATCCAAGATGACGCTTCAGACATTTACAAAGCTCTATTTCCATTTCAGTGCAAAACCATGCATTTATTTAAACAATTTACAATACACAATGTTTATTCATATTTCAATAAGCTGTAAATTAAATTACGATTGTTTTTAATGCGAATTCAGATTGCCTCTTTCTTGTATAATTTTTACTTTTTAATTTTGGCTTCCAATACACAGTCTTATTTATATAAAAAAAAGTGAAATAAAAAAACCGAACTCCAAGTCATAAACATTAATGTTTGGTACATCTTACAGAAAATAGTAGACTAAACCTCCCACTTGTATGGCAGTTGTTCATAGTTCCGTTATATTGACAAAATTGATTGAGCAACCTGAAACCTGAATTCTGTATAGCAAACAAACTAAAGAAAATTTATTTTTATATAGGACGTTTTTCATTTTAAACGAAAATAATTCTAGCCAAAGAAAAGAGAGTTTCAAAGGATGTTATATTTTATTTCTCATATTCTGTAATATACCACAACGATTTATTTATTAATTGATTGATTGATTGATTGATTGATTATCTATTTGTTAATTAATTAATTTACTCGTAATTTACGTCTGGTTTTTGTAAAAGAAAAATCGGAAACATAATTCATTGTCAATCTTTGAACGACTTAAACGAAACAGAATTTTGTCAAAGTTAGTATTGTTTCAACTTTATTGGTGATGCACTATATCACATTGTCACATTTTCTAAGTTACCAGCAGTCTTTATTACAAATGACCTTTTATTTTATTACACATTTTCATACCTATCAAGAACTTTTCCACACCAAGCAACTTCAACATGTCATGCCATAAATGAAACTATAGTGACTCAATACTACATTCGTATACGCATTGTTTATAATTACAAAATGGAAATTGCGACACGACAGCTCTGATAACCCAATATCAACATAAACAACAAAAATATAATGTACTGTTCCTAGAAACTGTCTTTGAAATGGATGTAAAAAGAGAATACACAAACAAAACAAGCGTATCATAATGCTTTAATTCCAAGAAATGGGTTTCAGCTCCTGCAAGGGACTGCAGTGAACTGCCAGATGAAACAAATAGTGGAGTGTATTGTATTCAGCCTGAAATAGGATCTGAAATTGCTGTGTTCTGTGAAATGAACATTGATGATGGGGGATGGACAGTAAGTTATGCCTTTCTTTAAAAAAATAGAAGCAACATATCAAAAAATGGTCTGGGTTTAATTTAGCAGACATATTATGCTAGCAAATAAATAATTTCTTAGTCTTTTGAAATATCTTATTTTCTATTTTAGAATACTATATCTATCAAGAAAACCTTTTTGCAAGTTTTTCATGTTTTTTTTTATTGACAGTAGCGATTGATATTTGGTATTCTGCAATTCCCTGAAGAAATCAGTATTTTATTGGGTTTTTTTTTTTGTGTTTTGTTTATTTTCTCCTTGTTTCTTTTTTTTTTTTTTTTTTTGCATTTTCATACATGTTCTCATATTCAAACAGAATATAGCAAGATCACTACGTTAAAATATTGGGTAGATAATTAAGTTTCAGTTTGATTGAACAACATACCTTTGGGTTGACAAAATTTGTACGACGGTTTATCCATTATATACACAGACTGTAAATTAAAAAAAAAACAAAACAAAATGAATATATTAATGCCAAACATGATATGGGATGCAACTATTATTATGTCAGGGGTAAAATGTACTACAAAATGAATAAAGATCTCTTAAATTGATCTCTAAGTTTGGCATCTATTCAAAGACTAATGCTGAAATAAAATTCCGAATTAACAAAGAAATACCAGAAAAAGAAAAGGTAGAATAGGCTATTCCGAAATTTCCCTCTTGAAACGTATTATATTTCGTTAATTTTCAAAACAGTTTAGACTGGCATTTTCTGATTATTAATTGAACAGGTAATACTAATTTGGTCAATGAAATATAGTTTAATCATCTTACTTTATCAGACAATCCAGAGAAGATATGATGGTACTGTGGACTTCTATCGGTTTTGGGATGATTACAAATCTGGATTTGGGGACATAGCTGGTGAACATTGGCTTGGTATGTGCCTTAACGTAACATTATTATCACTTTAACCCGAATGGTCAAGGTTTGGCTATGTTGACGTTTTTTTGCACTCAACAGTCGCATATTTTGAGACATTTTAGATAAAACCCACGCAAACCATTGCTAACTTTAAGCGTACTGATAAGTATCTGATTAACAAAACTTTTCCCAACTTAGAAAACCAGCAATACAAAATCACAATCAAGTCTTCAGATACATTACGTCTTAAACTATATTTGAACTGAGGGTTGACATTATAAAAAAGGAAAGGACTTATATCGATTGTAATGTGTATAATAAGTGTGTTCAATTAAACCTTCGTCAGGTAACAACTGCCACCAAATGTGTGGGAAGCAACATTCACAAAAAAGACACGGTTTTGAAAAGAAATCAACAGAAAAACGAAAACAAAACGAAAATTAAATTCCGAACTTTTTTCCAGTGCACGCCAGTATTTGGATATACATATACGAAGTCGTATTTCTAATTGCAGATAGTTGCTATAATTATAACTGTAATAATATAAAAGCTATTTATATCTGTACAGTTCGAATGGTGATATCAAGAATTATCTATTAGAGGCGTCCGGACTTTCGAAATCAGTCATTCTTTTCTTACGTATCTACCTATTATTCATATATAGACGATAGAATATGATTCAAATTATCTCTTTTTTGCCAGTATATCGGAAATGAAAAATAACCCGAATGTTGATAAGCCCGATACGTAAGATACGTAAAACTACTATCGGGCGATTTCATTTAGTAACAAACGTAAACGCATTAATTAAAACTTACAATGATTTTATTTATCATAATAGTTGATTCAGCTGTATCTGCTATTTTGCTTCGTTATTTCAAAGACGCAAATAATACCTCTTTTACAAGCTGACGTAGTAGCAATAGCAAAATAAATCGTACATGTCGTATGTTTAGCTTCCTGTTATATCAATTCGTTTTCTTTAATTGAAAATGTCCAAACTAGAATTAAATCGGTAAAATTAAAAGCACATATGTCTAAACTGTATGTTAATTGTTTTCCAGTTCAAGGTACAGAGTATGTCCAGCAGCAACCATTTCGGAAATGATTTTTTTTTTCAGGAAATGATAATTTGCATGTCATTCTACGACAAGGATCCTACCAAGTCCGATTTGACCTTGAAGACTTTGCAGGGAATACATCGCATGCTATTTATGATACAATATATGTTGGGGATGAGAGTACAAACTACACACTCTTTCTGATGGATTACAGTGGAACAGCAGGTATTAATGATTGAAACCAATAATTTCTCCTTTACTTGACCTCCTCATTTACATTATTATCACGTATCTTCCATTACTTAATACATAATTATGACTGTTGAATTAAAAAAAAAATCGAAATGATCCTATTTTTATTTTACTTTAGTGTAATAATCTATTAAAACGGAAAGATGAACTATTTATCTCTATGTATAGAAAAAATATATCCATTTGTAATTGGAGATTTAATAATTCATGAAAAATGAAATTTAAGAACGTTTCTTTCCGATTCGATGTGCTTCCTATAGAAATGTACTTCTTTTTTGAAAGATTTCATTTTAAAATACTTCTGAAAATAATAAGAATAAATGCATTTTCAGCTAAGGTATGCACATTTTTCCTAAATCTGTGACATTGCCCATTTTTCGTAACTAGACCTGAAGCGAGGTTACAATCATTTTTTATTTCTATACTATATTAAAATATTTTTCGAATATCAAAAACTATCTTAGAGTATATATACATCGGTTTCTTCTATATGTTGATAATTAAATTTTGGATGTAACACGTCTTCTGATTGGCTGAAAGTTTTTTTTATCTATCAGCTCATAGACATAATTTTATCATGTGACCGTGACAAAAAGTTTTTTCATAATTTACTCCTTTAAAATTGAAGTTAGAACTTAATTATAAAAAGACTGATATTCGAAATTACCTCAAAAGATGGACACTTTTAAATAAACCGCTACGCAGGTATCCAATGTGCACCACATTTTTTATGTTACTTCTTCACAGACAGAAAAAAATATTACAGTCATTCTTTAATTCAAACAAAGGGTATATGGTTTTATTTTACTATAACAATTATGTATATAAAGGGACGAATACAGGCGATGCTCTTAATATACAGAGGTCAGAATTCATTAAACTGACTCTTTTGAACAGAGAGAATAACCAATTACCTTTAAAATAAATCTAAATACAGTAATGATTACTGTTTTTATATAAAGAAGGTATATACACAGTTTCAAATACATATTATACATTATTGTTAAATAACTACATTTTAGTTCACTATACTGGAATCCTTGGCTTTCAAATATTCGGCTTTGACTTCTGGCACATAAAATTCTTAAAGATTGATTTTCATATTTTTTTGTTTCGCTCATTCAAAATATTGCAGGTTAAGTAATGCAAATAGTATTGAATAATGTTGTGTCCTGTTAAACGTACTTTGACCTATAATGGTTTACTTTTACAAATTGTAACTTGGATGGAGAGTTGTCTCATTCGCACTTATACCACATCTTCTTATATCTATTTGCAGGTAATGCAATGGTGGATTTGGATCCAAAATTAAATCATATGTTTACCGCTCGTGACAGGGACAACGATTTAAGCCCAGACCTTAACTGTGGTATAAAAAAGGAAAGTGGATGGTGGCATACTGCATGTACGTCTGTCAATATCAATGGTGGATATGGAGAGATGTATAATGATACTTCGAACATGTATTGGAAAACATGGAAACCAAATGCGCTAAAACAAACAAGAATGATGATCAAACCAATGGAAACAACTGTTGGAATAATTGGTATTGGTTAATAGAAAGTAAACTTACAGAATCAGACTTTTTTTGAACTTTCATAAGATAATATGTTTTGCTTTCAATTTGATTGGTTAGTATTTGCGCTATTCATGGCAGATTTCCGGTCAAAATCAGTCATTTAGTAGTGCATATTCAATCAAATAGACCGAACCAAATATTTTAACTTTTCCCTGTGTGATATTTCTGTTTAGAATCAATCAATAAAACTCATTGACTTATGAAATCATGATATGATTTAAGATTTTATTCTTTGCACAATCAGGACAGTGATATGAAATCGTTGTTAAGACTTCCTTGGAATTCGAATTTTCTCCACAAGCGATCACTTACGGTATATTATTAGGTAGGATTTATACTTTTTGTATACTTATCTGACTTTTCATATTGAAGATATTCTTTGTATCAACAATATAACTGAAGGTTCCATAATCAGAACAGGTCAGTAGCTGTGGCTATCGTTGCCATTTTACTTTGGGAATGAACTGATTTTATCCTATGTTTCCAGATAGTTTCGGTACTTGTGATATATTTGTATCATTAAATCTGCGTATGCCCCTACCAACTCTCTCTCTCTCTCTCTCTCTCTCTCTCTCGGACCAGTTTGAATTTTTTTTTCTTTATAGTGGGCATTTTAAATATCCTGAAGGAGAATTTCACTACACGTTAATAAGACAGCAACATAACGAAACAAAACAGACGATAACCACCTTTTTGGTAGGCTAATTTATATAGAGTAAATTCAATAGATAAGTGTTGGTTCGTTAACAAGATACCATGAACCCAGTGAGTATCACATTAACAACACATCGCTCATCCATTGTGTCTATTATTTGAACTCTTGTTGAGACTTCTTTTCAAAATTACAGTTTTTTATTAACTAAGCTCCTTTGGTAGTGAGTTCAAATAACCACATTAATATCTTGACAGATTGACAAGAAAAGGTCAGTAATTGGAATCATACAGGTAGTGGATTTGAATGATGAAATTCTATCTTAAAACAAAATCGCCTGCACTTCAGGATAGTTTACTGTACTGAAATTTTCATTTGATTATTATAAATTTGACTGAATATTATCGGTTATTCAAAACATGAGGCACATTCGAACTAAAGTCTTAGTAAATAAAATATATATGTTACTGCATGTCTAGCTAGAAACCCATTTATATGCACATATTCATCCACTCTCATATAGATTTGCGAATGTATTTGTAATTATATGTACTAAACACCTGAAATCACCCTATTTTTATTACAAATTGAATGTAATCATTTGTTTTGAAATACATGGACTAGTCAATAATATACATACAACAAACCAAAACAAAAGGCAAAATCCGTACTGACTACAAAAATATCAACAATCATCAATTGGTATATTTTACTGACGCCATCACGAGTTGTTTGATCGTTATGGAACATCTGCTTCACAGATGACGACGGATATGTTCCAATTGTCGTACCCACAATCCCCTCCCCTTTTACAAAAATGTGACCAACCGACGTAGAATTATCACCGGGGTTGTATTTATATGAACAACAATATGGATGCTACATGTGGAGCTGGATCTGCCTACCCATCCAGAGCACCTGAGCTCACCTCTTTTTTTTTTTGCTCAGTCTTTAGTTTTCTATGTTGTGTTCTGTGTACTGTTATTTTCGACTTATGAGTTTTGAACATCACTTTGGTATCTTTCGCCTTTCTTTAATATACAAAATCAGAAAAAAGGGAAACAAATATTAAGAAAAGGTACAAAAGAGAAGGATTCGAACCTAAACTAACCCAACAAATCTGTATTTATAATTTTGACTCTACAACACATTCCTCTACATCACGCGACAACCAAATCATGTTATAAAAGTTTTAAACAATATATCTATATAAATGTGGAAGCCCTATGTGTCCATTGTATCATATTGTATCATGTCTTAACTTTAATATATAGAAATAAGAAGATGTGGTATGAGTGTTAATGAGACAACTCTCTATCCAAGTCACAATGTGTAAAAACTAAACCATTATGAGTCAAAGTATGACCTTCAGCACAGAGCCTTGACTCACTCCAAACAGCAAGCTATAAAAGGACACAAAATGACCAGTGTAAAACACAATTTATATTTCTAAATAATCGGTCGATAGATTATATCCAGCTGATGGCTATTTGAGATTTATTATGTATACATCGATAGATTTGATACAACAGAGTTAAACAATTCCGGTAAACTAAATTAAACACATCTGTTATTGTATCTCTCTATTAAGTTAGGGGACAATATTGTCATCGTAACACTGTACGACTGAGGCTAAATTGCTCTCAGGTAAAGTTAAAACGAATTGTATTACAAAATGTTCATCTATTCGAGAGAAAAAAAACAATGACTTTCCGAAATAAAAGACACATTCTATTCACACAGAATTAGCGTTGAAATAGATGTCAAAATTATTAAGGTAAATAAAAACGATAAATATTTTCCGTTCAGTATAGGTAAATAATTTGTGTTCATGAAAAATTTCGGTAAAATTTATTAATTTATTAAATTAAATCGAAAATATATACCGAAACAACAGGAAATTTTGTTTAATTAATACAAAACGTAAGATGTGTGTTCATTTTCCATCATAATAATTTAGTGTTTTAAGGTATTTAGACTTTAACTGAATTTAGGTCTCTACCCAGCATTCAAAATCTGACTAAAAAGTCACAACCCGATGACTTATGTTTACCAAAAAAGTACAAATATTCGATTTTCTCCGTTATAAGAGGGAACATAGAGTTATAACTTTGGAAATGTGTTTATTTTTTTATATTATGATGAACATATTTAGATGATTAGTAAAAACTGGCAAATGTTAAATCTTGTAAGGGCAACGAAATGAAAATATGTAAAACAAATCAAACAAAAAATTCAACTGCTCGATTAGTATACAAAACAACAGCTCGATTAGTATACAAAACAACTGCTCGATTAGTATACAAAGCAACTGATCGATTAGTATACAAAACTAAAAACAAATATGATATTCAGCAACAAACGACAAAGTAAACACATAATTACAGCGACAGACACATTCAGAATGTGGTGGGGAAAAACATGTTTGCGAACAGTCTACCTGGGAGGGTAGTGTTACGGCACAACATAAAACAAACTGTTAAAATCAGGTTGAAATGGCTTGATACAAATCACACATCAACAATTAAGAAAAAAACCTACCTATCTAGGGGTAACCCTAGCTACTGAAAGCTAGTTCAACGATAAGTACAACTAAACATAAACTAGACTTACATATCAAATTCATCTAGTACAAAGACGCCATAGTAGACAATCTGCAAACATGAACTTGTGTAATAAAAAAATACAACATAGATATAGTACCACAAGTGTTTATAAGTGGAATATATATTTTATGATATCAACACATTAAATGTCAGTGACGTTAAAAAACCAATATTCAGAGATCTTATTTCGACGTAACATTGATAACCTCTGAGAATAAGTTTATTTAACGGATCTATATTTTTTCATGGCTTATATCTAAATAAAAGGGGCTTTAACGACATCAGCATATAAGGATGCGATATCTCGTTTGTTAATACTGTTTAATTACAGATGCAGCCAAACTTCATGCCCAAATTTTTGTTAAAAATGAGAATAACTCTTTATAAATTGTATGCCTCCGTAGCGCATTTTCTGGATTTACCTTCTTAGAACCGAAGCAGTTGAATACAAACAACTACATACAGCAATCATTTCAGCAATATAACGTGCTTTGTCATAACAATGGGCGAAAAACTTCAGCCAATGTAGGCAAGACCATGCAAAAAACTGCAAACATCAGTGTAAGGGTTTCAAACTAAAGTGTGATGTCTTTGTTTGGATTCGTATTTAAATTTGGAAATCAAGGTTTTTTGATAATGAATATAAATAAATAATGATTGGTTATGAGGGAAAAAAACCGTCTACAATGCATGAAGTATAGTTCAGATTTCCAGATAAGTCAACGGTATCTGTAGAGTTGTAAAAACATACTATGTTGCTCTTTTACAACAGAGATTTGGATATGGACAACTAAGGTAAATTTACCTCTGACAATATGGTTACATAATTGAGAGAATTAACAAGGCGGGCGCACAAATTTTGTTTATTCACTCTTCCGTAAATAATCTGAAAACCAATCGCGATTTCCTAAATCCATGATAAAACACACAAAAAGACAGACAGTAACATCATCATCATCATGCAGCATGGTTGACACATGGAACCCCCATGGAACTTTCGTGCATATTTAAATGGTCAACCATAAGGCACTGAAACCACCTTATCTTTAGATGCGTGATTTGTTTTTATTAATTGTTATTGGTTTTGAACTAGCTGTCAGTAACTGCGAGTACTCTCAGATCTGTACTTAGTGTCTTTTTGTTGTTGGGATGTACAAGTATCCGGCCCGTACGGTGACCTATAGTTGTCAATTTCTGTGTAATTTGGTCTCTTGTGAAGAGTTGTCTCATTGGCAATCATACCACATCTTCATTTTATATTATACCGCAGCCGTTAAAAAAAATATTATCAAATTATGTAGCCAATTAGTTTTTTCTAACTCGTATACTTATGAAAGGATCTACAATTATAGTCATATGAAACGAGTGACTGGTGAAAAATAATGTAAGTCCAATTCTGAACCAATGCATTCAGATATCATAAACCTAGTCTTCTTGTCTTCTGGTGGAGATTTATTTCCCCGAGGGTATCACCAGCCCAGTAGTCAGCACTTCTGTGTTGACTTGAGTTATCATTGATATGTTCATAATTATAAATTAACTGTTTAACAAAACTTTGAATTTTTGAAATACTAAGGCTTTTCTACCTCAGGAATAGATTACCTTAGCTGTATTTGGCAAAACTTTTAGGAATTTTTGGTCCTCAATGCTCTTCAACTTCGTACTTTATTTGACCTTTTTAATATTTTTTGATTCGAGCGTCACTGATGAGTATTTTGTAGACGAAACGCGCGTCTGGCGTAAATATAAAATTTCAATCCTGGTATCTATGATGAGTTTATTCTGTGCAATACTTTATAATTAATTACGAATCCATTTCGTATAATCATCAAAAAATATTTCACAGGGTCAGTGTTGTTATGAAAATATTGCAGCTAATTAATGGTCGTGTTTTGAAGCCGAAGTTTACAGATTGTCACCTTTGTAAACTATCAACAAAGAAGCATGGATATT